ATGAAAAAAAAAAATGTTTAAATTATTATTATTCTGCAAGTAATTGAGTGGGTTATGATAAAAAAATCACCCTGTATAATGATCCATACATTTTTCAAAAAGTTATAGCATTATAAAGTTAAAAATATAAAACAATTTTTTTTTACAAAAATTGTATTTTTTTGATTAACTTTGATGTCTGTTTTCACAGTGAAGACAAAATAAAATCGGAATTTTTTTTCCCCATAATAAAGTATATTACATTAGCTTTGATTTAAGATATATATAAATGTGTTAGTGTTTCTAGACATTTTCAAAAGTTATGTTGAAAAAGTTAATTTTTTGTGAAAAAGTTGTCATTATGAATTCCCNGAAAAAGTTAATTTTTTGTGAAAAAGTTGTCATTATGAATTCCCCCTGTGGGCAGGTAAAGGGTCAAATGTTCACAAAAATATATCAAATGAAAGGTAAATACTTAATGTATCTATAAAAAAAAAATTATAAAGATTAGGATATTTTTAAAAAAGTTATGGTAGTTTTAAATAAAAAAATTTTGAAAATAAGCGATTTTTAAGTTTTTAATTTTCTTTTAAATTTCCTCCATTTACGGAAACGAGTGAAATTTTTTCAATTTGTGAGGGTTATGTTTTCGACTAGATACGATTTGTGATTTTTTGACGTATCGTTTAAAGAAATCGGTTCGGTGAGAGCTGAAAAAAAGTGGCAATACACCAAAAAAAAAAAAAACATTTTAGTAAAATTAATACCTTCTCAGCTTCGCATCGAAGCTAAAAGTAAACTATTACTAACAAAAAATTCCCTATGGTGGAAATTTCCAATGGAGAATAATTTTTTAAAGTAATATTTTGAAATATGAATACAATGAATACACAAACAATTACACTTTAGCAATAATCTAAACCCAAAGAGATTAAACCGAATAGAAATTTAAAGTGTAAGATAACTTAAAAGTTGGTAAATTAAAATAAAAAAATTCTGTTTTTGATGGTAAAAACTGTTAAACTTGTTAAAAATCATAAATCAAACCATTAAATTAAAGTGATAGAACGTTGAGAACTTTATGTGAGGTAAGCTATCATATGTGCATCTCGACAGTATTCATAAGTATTGAAAATTAAGAAATATCTATTATTTATAACAAAATTGTTGATTAACATATAATTCAGACACGAATTTCTTTTTTTCATGAAAAATGCACACTGTTACATGTATACGTTAAAAACGTACGTTTTTTTATTAAATGGAAGCTAAACTTTCATGAGACCGTACAAAACTCTTATTATTAAAAAAAAAACTCTGGCTATGTCACTGATTATGTGTTAAAAAATAATTATTATTATAGTCAATGTTATTTTCTAAATTAAACTTTTTTCNAGAAAAAATTACATTTAGTTTAAAATCGTTTTTTTTTTTTCGGTTAGTTTAAATTTTAGCTCTTAAATTTTTTTTTTTTTAATTTTAACTAAAGATAAATGTTATTATGACGTAAAACGGCATTTTAAGAGGATGGATTTTATTTTATGAATTTCTAAATTACAATTTATATATCAAGTATTTGTTGACAAAATAAATCTGTTTTCGGTCCCAGATAGAATATTATGAAAAAAATTCAATATTAAATATATTTTCCCTTTATGGTTAAGTATTATTTATGAATATTACATTTGTAATTAATGATAAAATGTAAAAATTAATATAAAATGAAAATTTAATGAGATAAAATCTAAATAAATCTTAATTTAGTCATTGAAACAGAGAAAAGATTTACTGATTTTTAATATTTTTACTACCATTAAACTAAAATAACATAATTGTGTTGACATAAATGCCATTGAAGACAGTAACATCGTTACGATGCTGATCAAGTAGTTTACTTGTCTGGATGTTACATAATTAATTTGGATGCGACCGAGTGACATATACTAAATGTATGCAACTAATTGCAAAAACTGGTCTTAATTCATAACTATCACCCCGTATGACGCAATTGCTGAAACCACCTCTATTATTGTAGAGAAAGTATCGTATACAGATCATCGACTCCAAATAATTTTTTAAGGGGAAATATTGATAACCAGATAAAATGAACAATACTATTGAATAACCATAGAATTATAAATACCTCAACATAACTGTGTTGGGCATCAGTCGTCTTCTAGAACAACTCGGCACACAATCAGTAAAAAAATATCATCTGTAACTTAAATAATCAAATATGAAATATTTTAAGGTACATTGTCAATATTAAATACAATTTTTTTTAATTTTATATTAATACCGATTTTTTTTTATCGTGATTTCAGGCTTGTGTCGTCGGATTAGCTTTAATCAGTCACTGCTTGGCTGCTGAAGACGCCAAGACTGATAAGAAAGCTAATACCAAAAGAAGTTACAACTTGGGATATTCCGGAATCTCTGACGCTTCTTGGGGCTTAGGCGGTTCATCGTTGGGTGGATATGGATTGGGACTGTCTTCTGGAATCGCTTCAGGATACGGTTCTGGAATCGCTTTAGGATACGGNGGTTCATCGTTGGGTGGATATGGATTGGGACTGTCTTCTGGAATCGCTTCAGGATACGGTTCTGGAATCGCTTCAGGATACGGTTCCGGTTATGGATACGGCCATCATGTGCCCACAAAGGTCAGCTCCTCAGATCACGTCGAACAAGTTTCCGTTCCGCAACCATATGCAGTTCCAGTCACCCGTCACGTTCCAGTTTCAGTCCCACACCCAGTGCCCGTAGAAGTCCCAAGGGCCGTTCCAATCAGCGAACCACATCCAGTACCAGTCACCGTCAATAGACCATACCCAGTCGAAGTTCCTCGTGCCGTCCCAGTCAGTGTACCACACCCAGTACCAGTTGAATTAAACCGTGCCGTGCCATACCCAGTTGCTCGTCCATATCCCGTAGAAATTAACCAAGCCGTACCATATTCCGTACCTACTCCAGTCATCACCCCAGTCGCTGTCCCAGCACTAGCCACCTCTTCTTACGGAGCTCCATTGTCCGGCTACTCTTCTTACGGTTCATCTTTGGGTGGCTTGTCTTACGGATCGTCTTTGGGAGGCTTGTCTTACGGATCATCTTTGGGAGGCTTGTCTTACGGATCATCTTTGGGAGGCTTGTCTCACGGTTTAGCTTTGGGAGGCTTGTCTCACGGATCATCTTTAGGATACTCTGGTGCCTCTCTCGGATACGGAAGCGGATATGGTTTATCCAAATACGCACACCATTAATAGTAATTTAATTATTTGAAGTTAACAAATTAAAAATTTGACAATTCACTTTTGTGTCAGAACAAAACTTCAAAATATTGTCCATTTATTCTTTGGATGTATAGTAATTTTTTTATTTTATTTGTTACTGTATACACAAATTGTGTAATTTTTGTTGATGAGGTTATAATAATTTCATGTATATATTTTATTACTTTAAAGTTTGTATTTTGTAATATATGACAAATTAAGTTTTATTTTGAAAATTAATGATTTTAAGTTATTGTTATTCCAATTTCTTTTCCTAACCTTATGAAGTGTTTTAATACTATAAACGGGGTTGATACTTATCTATAAATCATAAATTTATGATATAACAATTTCATTTTACATGATAAAAACTACTGAATAATTATAATAATATACTGAGTGATTGTTATAATGTTAACCACTCAATTTTCTTTATATTTCTTATTAGCGATAAATAATAAAACATGTACATTAAACGTTGTTTAAGAAGATAACAGTTATTAAAACAAAAAACACAAATTATCTCCCGAATCAAAAATTATTACAAATGTAAAAACTCAGTAGGACACTCTGTATTTTGAACCAGCTTATTTATTAAATAGGAAATGATCTAATTAAATAGATAACTGGTCGATAGCAACTTTTCCACTAGTACTTCAAATGTTATTAGCATTTTTATACTTAGACGGGAGAAGTATAGCGACCTTGAAATGACTAATGATAAAAACAGCAACATCCATGCTTCATTTCCATCTATATTTTAAAATGCTAATAACTTACAGAGTATTGGTCTAAAAGTTGTTATCGTTCAGCCATTATCTTAAATATGTCACTCTCTCTTTTATAAGCTAATTTAATATTTATGTTAACACATCAAAAAAATTAAGTTATCAAGTTATAAATTATAGGAAATGGATCTATAATTTATTTTATAACAGATATATTTGTTATTTACAATATTCAAAAGAAAAATTAACAAAAAAAATGAATTACATCAAGAGAAATTGAGTGGCTCAAAAAGTTGACATGCTTATAAGACATATAGGTGAATTAAAACTGTAATTATTAACTGATAAATCAAGAAATGTATGAAACTAAAAAATAACCAAAATAATTTTTAACATAATATAGTTTTCTGAGAAAATCAATGGCGAAATTAGTATAAATGTGTATTTTGAACATAATATATATATTATTAACGTTTATTACAACTCATAATTTGTTTAACAATTAAAAATCAGTATATAGATAAAACAGTGAGAAACAAGTAACCAATGTCATTATTTATTTAACGAATTTCATTTAAAAAATTTGTTTTATCTCGAGTGTTGAAACTTTTTTATTTTTTCACATGACGCATTATCGTCTATGTAATGGACCAGACAACAATGTTCAACGAGACAATTAGATAAGATAACACAAATAAATAGAAGCAAGATAATTATTTTTTAAATTTAATTTTATCAATAAAAAAAATGTGTAGAAAGATAAAAAAAAACTATTTTAAAAAGTAAAAAAAATTGAAAATAAAAACTTTGTAATAAAACAAAAAAAACCGGAAATAAACATTTTTTCTAAATCGTTAAGAAAAAAAAATAACTTAAAAATTTAATATTTCAAAACTAATTAATTCAATGCTATATATGTTTAAACATTTAGCATTATGCTATAGAATATTTAAAACAATAAAAATAAGCAAAGTTGTTAATATCGTTTCTGGTTATAACAATAAGAATATGATGGTCTAAGAAATAAGGAATATTTATGCATAAAAATTACGTTGCTTAATTCGGCACACTCAATAAATTAGATAACATCATAATGCAACGTATTTCTCAAATTTCTCATAAAACAAAATTAGTATTGATTCTCTAAAGAAACTTCTGGATTTTACTTTTACAAGAGAAAACCCAACATTTTTAATTTGTGTACATTAACTTAATTATTTGTTTTAATACCGTGGCCAACTCTAAGGAGTTGCGATTAAGGCAAGGAAACAGAATAAGAATTTGTTTTAATACCAGTTTTCTAGAAAAATGTATTTTTTAAAAAAACAGCATTAAAGATAAACGTTTAATACAAAATAATTTAAGTTATTTTAAGTATTAAATTATTAATGGAATGTTATCTAGTAAACTAAAAAGTAATTATAAATTTATACAAATTGTCGCTTAAATGTATGACACAATCAATACGAAAATCAAAAATTTCGATCACTAAAATTAAAGTTTTTCACGTTTCTCCTTCTAAAACTTATTTTAATTAAAAAAAAAATCATTATGAAATTTTTTATTTAAATTGAGATGTCATTTGATTTTAGTGGCATCTCTCTGTATAACCCTTATCGAGCTCTATATTTAATAAAATAAACTTTAATAATAATGAACTTTGATCAAAAATAAACTTTAATACAAATCCAACCAAAACATGTTAACCTTATTAAAACGTTAAATTCCAAAAATAAATAAAGTTTGCATTTTTTCAAAAAAGTTGACTTTTAAAATTAAATTAAATTGAGTTTTAAAAGTTTAACTCTATTGAAAACATATTTTTAATAAAACATTATTAAAATAGATAATTTTTAGAAGGGTATAGTGCTTTAAATTCTGTACTTCATTGAGAAAAATCCTTATTTCATTAGACTAAAGTTAAAATAAAGTGACGAATTTAAAAAAATAAAAAATATATCATTAGGACGTTTTTCTTTTTTTATCATTAAATACTTTTAAAATAGTTAAATTTTATATAAGATAATAGTTACATTAAAGCAAAACTCTGTTCGGAGTTATTTTTTATAGTTCATTAAATTTCATTAGAATAACGCATAATATCCGAATATTTCAATTTATTACATCGGTATTTGTTTTGATATCTTTTAGTTTATTGATTTCACCTAACCTCTAATTTCCGTTTTATATGTGTACTTATCGAGATGTATTTAACCGAAATACTAGTATCATTATCCTGTATAAAATTTGTAAAATATCGGAGTGGCTTATTTGAAATAATAATTAAATAATTATACAACAATCATAAACATAGCAGTGTTGTATTTTTTTTTCGTGGGGAAGGGTTATACATGAGGCATGGACCCTCTTCATGAACATAATATCATGGTAACATAGGGTAGTGAAAGAGTAACACATCCTACTATTCTACGTTTTAATAGCTCTCTGAACCCCATTCAAAAATTTCAAAATACGCCACTGGACAATAAACAATGTCTATATGTATATCTCATAGAACAGCTAACTGTTTTAGACAGCTGAACTCATGAAAAATTTAAATTATTAAAATATTACAAAACGCATATAAAAATAATAAAACATTAAAGTTTAATGATAGCTTAAATAATTTAAAATTTCTTTATACATTTTCAATCGTAACTGAAATTTTACAAAAAATAACAATTTATCAAGTAAAAATTTTCTTTCCTAATTTCAGATAACAAAACATTTTATTTTGTATTGGAAATGGACATATGTCACATGGTTAAATTTTAAGTAGTACCTTCTATTAATAAAATTATGAATTATAAAAATAATTGACTTTTAACTAAAAAAAACCCAGAACAGTGTGGTCGCGGCACAGTGGTGACGTGGTAGAGTTGGGTCCAGTATAGATAGTATCTGACAATGATTAAAATCACTATTATAAAAAAACGCTTCGATGCAAATCTGTAGATAATGTTTCATTTAAAAAAATTGGTGGATTATTTGAAAAGTTACATAATCTTCTATTTCCTTATTTATATCCTGATTACAAGTCATATGATTTATACTTGTAATATACAAATAAATAAATAAATAAATAAAAAAAAAAAATATATATATATATATATATATATATA